GTTGGGACTGAAAAACACCACACACAGCATGAGAAACCCTACTGGGATGTTACTCTGTGTGTAATACACGCATCAGGCCACTAGAGAGCAGTACACAGGTGAATAGCAACTGTTTAAACACTGACAAACACAAGAAGCAGTGTTATGGGAAGTCGTAATGGTGAGTCCAAGTTTTAACCACTACACACAGTGAAACTGTTGATCCGCTGTTTTAACAGCTACATGCAATATAGGGCAAGTCGCGGGGTGCACCTTAGACGTGGTAAAAGGTAATTTTGTGTTTATGTGTAATGTCTTTACTTACATTTATGTTTTTATGAGCAGGATTTACAAAGAGGTCATACATATATATATGATATCATTCACGAGGGATACATTTGACATATAATTCACAAATTATAGACCAACAAGTCATTTACAGCAGTTTAAATGTCGGTGTTTTAGGTTAACTGGTTATATTTGTTGAAATTCCTCTCTGCGTGTTCCAGATGTTGCATCCGTAGATTTGTCATTTTCACTGAATGGTTGTCTCTGTCGGCCAGTGTGCTGTTTAGTCAGGCGGTTTGCTCCTAACTGAACTGTGAGTATCACCAGTTTACATGGGTGTGTTTCCTGAATCAGCTGACGGAGCGAACAGGATGCATCCAGGTAAACTCGAAACTGTCGAGCTGATCCGTGGCATAGTGGAGAAACTGTCGACTTGTGATTTACACAGAGGTACGATACCACGCTGAAGAGTTTTATTTCTTTTAGTTATTATTGTTATTTAAATCGTTTCAAATATGAAAAGGGTTAAAAAAGAAGAAGAAATAAAGAATTAATGAACATGATTCAAGTGTAGGTTTAGTCTGCCTGCCTTAAAATCCACACGTACAGAATAGGAATTAGGCATTAGGGGGTTTGTAAATATAGATAGAGATTTCAAATAGTTTAGTAATTGTTTTTATATAGTTTTCTGTATGTTTATTAAAGGTTATGCAAAATTGATAGAATGGGTGGAGCTAGAACATGTCAACATACTTTCAACCACATTTGTGTTGCAACCATACACACAGAGACACAAATAAACATACTGAGAAACTGCCTGGGTGTATTTGCAGCCAAGCTATTTTTTAAGTTATAATAAATGAATAGAAAGCATAACCTGGTGTGACCTTTCTTTTAGAAATCCTTGAACTAACTTGTTGAAGCTGACATGGAGAGTGACTCTGAAACACACAGTGGTGAAGATGCTACTCCAGATGACTGGTAAGTCTGCTGTCTGTTCTCCTACATGAGGTGAAGTTTGTTTATGACTCTTGTATTTTCATTGACTGCTTCTATGAAAAATTTGCAGGATGGAATTGGCTGATGACAGTCCTGCTGCCAGTTCTGCTGCCAGTCATGGTGACAGTCATGGTGACAGTCCTGCTGCCAGTCATGGTGACAGTCATGGTGACAGTCCTGCTGCCAGTCATGGTGACAGTCATGGTGACAGTCATAATGCCAGTCCAGCCAACAGTCCTGCTGTCACACAGGAACCCTCAGAAAAAGAGGATTTTAAACTGTCCCTGATCACCTGGAATGTGGATGGGCTTGATGTGGAAAACCTTCCAGAGCGTGCCAGAGGCCTGTTTAAATATTTAAACTTGTAAGCACGTGTTACATTTTTCACACTTTAAGGCATCGTTTGGGAGAAATTGTTGCTGGAGATGCAACATTTTGCCAAAAGCTGCATATATGTGATGTTAATATGATTAAAGTAAATCTTTGTAAATGCAGATACAAACCTGATGTGGTGTTCCTGCAGGAGCTCATTGACCCTTATGTCCACTTCTTGAAGAAACGGTTTGTGAGCTACCTGATGATTGAAGGTACAGTATGACAGATACAGGTAGGAAAAGTCCATGTATGAATGATCAAATGGTGATTAATGGCTGAATGCAGTTGAACTGCTTTGGTTTCACGTAGTGTCACACATGAGGAGAGCTGTTAGGGACTTTAGATGATATTAGTAACATCTGTATTCGTCCTTCACTGTTTTCATAAAACCTGACTGTTGTACCAACACTACCAGATTACACAGACCATGGAATACACTTTGGAGAAGCTCAGCTGTTTGAGCCTGTTTTTGTTTTCCTGGTTTTCTCTCACATCCAGCACATGTATGTATTGTTATTATGATGGATTCAAACCTAATGATTTGAAACTGAAGAAGCTAAGCAGACCCTGGGCGTCAAAGCTCGGGCTTCAGGCTTAGGCTCTAAATACTCAGTTTTGTGTTTTTTTTTTTCTAGAAATAGTAAGTCTAGTAAGTCAGAGGTAAAGCTGCTTTTAGAGAGAGGAGCTATAACTCCTTTTGTGTCCAAAAGGGGTCCCCAATCCCAGTCCGCGAGGGCCGGTGT